TCCTGTGGCAGGCGGGAAAAAAGTCCCCTTCATCGTCAGGGTTTAATGGAGTGGGACAGTTTCCCCTCCTCTGCCTGCCGCCTCCCGGTTGCGTGCGAAGTTCGCAGCGCGGGAGCCGGTGGTGGGAGCCTCCGGCCATCTCCTCCCACCCCCTTCGCGGGATTTGACCCCAGCTGGCCGGGGAGGGACGCCAAGCGTGGAAGGGGCTGCAGCGTGGGGAGCCAGGCTTAGAGCAGCTTCCCACCTGCTCAAGGGAGCTGACCCTTCCCAGAGGTCACAAAGAGATTTCGTTCCTCTGGCTTGGCTCCTGATGGGTTTTGCTCCTCACCAGAAACCTCTGTAGGCCCCCCTCTGTAAGAGGGTGGGGAGTCTCTGCTTGGAAGCAGCTGGGAATTGTTACCTCTGGCTGCTCAGGGAAGCCCAGGGAGTTTTTGCGATTGACTAGAATGGGAGCAGAATAGGGCTCTTGGCAAAGTGAAGGGAACAAGATATATCCTAAGGTTTCTTCTTGAGTCCCTCAGAGTTCCACCCCCTTTTGGTTTAGGGAGTTGTAAGGGACTGGCAAACTCTTACCATGTAAATATCAGACAACACAATAATCACCATAATCCTGCGCTTTTGGTTAAAGAGGAACAGTGCTATAGTCATCAGCTCTGTTTCACTCTGTTACTATATTGCAGCGTGAGCATGTTAAAACACCCAAAGCCATGTCATTGCTCATGATTTTAATAAACTGAAATCCCTGTTTCACATGCTAGAGACAGCTCTGCTCTGTGTGTCATGTTCAAAAGCAAATATACAGTCTCCTCTTTCAAGCACAAATAGTGATCTTTTCAGAGCTATATTTTTCCAAATTTCCAGTGTTATTGGCGTGGTTTTTATGATTTACCAGAGGGATTATTTTCTTTGGACACATACAGAGTGAGAAAGTTGAGCACTACAATACATGTAGGATGTATTCCATTCTGTCTTGAGTTTAAAATGGATTACTGGAGTCCACAGAAGCACCTGAAAAAATAGGTTTCACCATTTCTTTTCAAGACCCTTTTCAAGTATTCATGAACTCTCTCACACACATTTTGCCCCAGGCTAACAGAATAGTTTACAAAATGTTAGCATGGCAACTTTGAGTGGAAAATATCTTGAAGTGGCATTTAAAGTTTCATGAGACCAGAATATGGTCTCTTGTTCAACTGAAAAGCACTTTTTTATTTTTATTTTGGTTTACTATTTACTATATATTAGTTTGTTATAAAATGCACATTGTGTCCATGATGTGGTGAAGTCAGAGACGACCCCTAAGGGCTGATTCCCGGAGTGCTGACACGGCCACTGCCACTTGCCTTCCCACTCTCTGGGATCCTGCTGGGCCAGCTCCTTTGGTCTCCTTCAGCCAAGGCACCAAGTTGAGATCCACCCCACTTCCTCCCCGAGAAGCAGTACAGACACTGAATCTCTTCAGGTCCCAGGAGAGTGCAGTTTAGGGCCCAGCTTTCTGGGATGCCACTCCCCAAATGGGAACAAACCCCAAAGAATTATGTAGGTAAGCCCCCTTTAACAATGAAAGGGGGGAATGTACACACTGGTTGTTCCCCCAGGTAATAATTATTTACACTGGGCTTGATAGTAAGTAAAAGTGATTTTATTAAGTACAAGCAGTAGGATTTAAGTGGTAATAAGTGAGAAGAGGCAGAGCAAAGTAGATTACAAATCAAAAGTAACAGAAAACGCTTAGCTAATTCTAACACTAAAATCCTCAGCATACACTTATTACAAACTCACCCTAAAACTGTTTCTGTTCCCGCTGCACCTTCATACCAGGGTCAGCTCCCGTCCACTGGGTCTCTGGTTCACCTTTCTCAGATGTGTCCAGCCAGCCAAATACAAAAGACTCCTACCTTCTTATTCTTTTAAAGGAATTCCCTTATTGCATGGGGAGTCACCTGACCTGTCCCTACCAACCACTGCTGAGACTTAAGGACAGAAGGCTATTTGCATAAGATTGCCCAGACACTGAGGCCTCCCTTGATGACTTTCATTCACACATTTAAAACCCATGAAGTATTCCCTACTCCATATGTCTAATTTTACACACAAGAATAATACATACATATGAACAGCTGGTGGCTCCCTCTGGCGCCACGTGTCTCTGGCCAGAGGAGGCAACTTCATGTGCGTCCCTTTCCTCAGGTCTTGATTGGCCTGGGGTTGGGGGAGTGACAGGGCAGCCATGGGCCGGGTCAACTGGCTTAGTGGGCCAGATCCAGCCCACGGAGGCTGTCTTGACCACCCCTGCATTAAACCATTGTTGAAGTGTAATATGGGGTGACACTGAGCTTGTTCTTCATATGAGTTAATAGAACCTGACCACTTGCACTCATTAAAGACTTATCATGTTCTCCTTAGAACTAGACAGAGAATCTGGGCTTTGTTCTGGCTGCAGAGATCACATTCTGCTTACCATCACTTTCACTTGGAGGGGCCAACGTTTGATCAACTGTGATTCCCATAGTATCTGTGATAGCTTCTTGGTGTGTTGTTTGCAGTGTTCTACTTGTTACATTTTGACAGTAGGGAATGTTCGTGTTTTCAGTAAGTAAAGTGTTAGCACTAAGTTATACACAGGCAGACATTATCCCGGGGGGCTCTGGAAAGCAGATGTGTGAGGCAGACTGATTACCTGTTCCCAATGTTATTGATTACTACTTGCACTAGGCTTAATCAAATAGGGACATACTGTCATGAATAGTAGGAGGGCTCTACTAAGCTCAGGAGGCCAGACTAAATATCACGATGATTCCTTCTGACCTTAAAGTTTATGGCTGTGTCTAGATTGGCATGATTTTCCGGAAATGCTTTTAACGGAAAAGTTTTCCATTAAAAGCATTTTCGGAACAGAGCATCTAGATTGGCACGGATGCTTTTCCGCAAAAGCACTTTTTGCGGAAAAACGTCCGTGCCAATCTAGATGCGCTTTTCCGCAAAAAAGCCCTGATCGCCATTTTCACGATCGGGGCTTTTTTGCAGAAAACAAATCTGGGCTGTCTACACTGGCCCTTTCGTGCAAAAGTTTTGCGCAAAAGGACTTTTGCCTGAACGGGAGTAGCATAGTATTTCCGCAAGAACACTGACAATCTTACATGAGATCATCAGTGCTTTTGCGGAAATTCAAGCTGCAAGTGTAGACAGCTGGCAAGTTTTTCCGGAAAAGTGGCTGATTTTCCGGAAAAACTGGCCAGTCTAGACACAGCCCACATGTATTATATAGCAACAAGAGCCCTATCAGATTTTTTTTCCTACAAATATTTGACCCTTGGAAAGAAGGAGTGTAATTAGAACAGTTTTAGAATCCTTTGGGGTAGGATATTGTTGTTCATCCCTCGGCCAAATGTGTTTTGTAGTATTTCCATGTTCTGTTAAATATTTTGTGGGTCACCCCGGAGATGGCCACATTTACATAGGAAATTAAATAATTTTCCTAAGGGCTGTGAGAGAGAAATGTTTTGTGTCTGAATTTATAAAATGATTTTTACTCCTGTCATAGGTCAGTGAAATGAAAGTTATTTGTTTGTACATGTTTTAATTTAAGAAAAGGTACTAGACAAAACAATTTTGAACCAAAATGATAAAGAAGGCCCTTTAATGATATTTTCCTGTTGTATGTACCAGTTTTTACTTCTAAGATCTCGTCACCGAACCAACAAGAAGAATTGAAAGGGCCTCCAAAGAACTGGTTGTAGAGGACGGCCTTGAATCAAGTGATCATGACTTAATTCAGTTCAATTTAAACTAAATGAAAGAAAAAAGAAGTTCTGCAGCTAGGATTTTTAATTTCAAGAGACCAAAAATGTTTTAAATTAGGGAAATTGGGGAAGTGAACTGGACTGCGGAACTTAAGGATCTTAAGATGGCGGATGCTTGGAATTATTGAAGTCAAAGTTGCAGAAACTACCTGAAGCCTGCATCCCAAGCACGGAGAGGAAAAAATTCCAAGGAAAGGGTTGATGACCAAACTGGATGAATAAGCGTCCCAAACAAGTTATTAAGGGAAAGCAGAAAGTCTACAAAGAATGGAAGAAGGCCTGTATCAGCCAGGAAAGCTGCCTCTTGGAGGTCAGAAAGTATAGAACTACAGAGGGGGAAATGAGAACTGTCCCAAACCAAGCAGAGCTGGACCTTGCAATGGAAATTAAAATAAACAGTAAAAGATTCTATAGCTACATAAATAAAAAGAAAACAAGGAAATAAATGGGACAGATAAACACTGAGGATGGGGTGGAGATTACAGATAAACCAGGCATGGCCCAATGCCTAAACAAATGCTTTGCCTCCATTTTTAATAAGGGTATTGAAGAGCTTGGGGGCTGTGGCTAATGGGAACAGGAATATGGAAATAGAAACTACCACATCCAAGATGGAATTTAAGCATCGTCGTGGGTTCAAATTGGGGGTCCCAGATAATCTCCATCAAAGGATATTTATGAAATTGCAAGACCAATGGCCAGGGATTTTATTAATCTGTAAACTCCAAGGTTGTACAATATAACTGGAGAACTATAAATGTAGTACCCATTTTTTTTTTACGAAAAAGTGATCTAAGAAACAACAGCCCTAGGAGTTTGACCTCAACTCTATGCAACGTCCTAGAACAACTTTTGAAAGAGAGAGTTGTTAAGGACATAAAGGTAACTGGGATAAAATACAACATGGTTTTACAAAAGATAGATCATGCCAGACCACCCCAAACTCTTTCTCTGAGAAGATAATCAATATTATAAGATAACGGCTATGCAGCGCATCTAATCTACCTGGATTTCAGTAATACATTTGATCCAGTTCCACATGCAAAATTATGAGTTAAACAGGAGATAAGTTGATACAAGAGTTGAAAAGTGGGCAAGAAATGAGTTAAAGGAGAGACAACAGGTCCTACTGAAAG